AAAATGCTGGAATTGATTCGCAGAAGAAGGCCATCTACATTAACAAGTCTGTACGAAAGTTGACGGAAGAAGGAGCGCTACGTCATCGTGTTGGCATTGGGGCAAGGGGATCATTCAAGGTGGTTTCAGCATAGTTAGAATAGGTCTTATAAATTCAGAAATGCAGAAGTTATACTCGAATAAAGATTTATCACATCTAAACTTCTTTTAATGTTTACTCATGGCGGGGTAATTGTACATGTGTATTGCATTATGCAATTATCCGTTAATAATCTAAAGACCACTCCTTTGAAAATTAAATTAAAAGTTTGTATACGTGCTGCAGTTTGCTGAACTAAATAAAAACACATTGTAGAGACATCTGGTGGTAAGAGTAAGTACTAAGTCATCAATACAATGGTAAAAATAATATATAAACATGCATTCGTTACGTGTCTATATTGAAAGTTGTGAAATTATATAAGTACCTACTTTCTGACATGCAAGAAGTTGATGTAGAAATAAAGTTCAAAAGGAAATACAATTTACATGGTATGCATTTTTGTCCAGGAAATACGTGAATTAAATAGTATCGTTAACGCAAGTCGAAATCCTGCAAATCTACAATGGTAAAGTTCAAAAGGAAATACAATTTACATGGTATGCATTTTTGTCCAGGAAATACGTGAATTAAATAGTATCTGTTTTTGATCTTTCCTCGCCCATAGGGAAAATAAAAAAAAAAAAAAAAAAGACAGAACAAAAAGATTAGTCTTTATGATATATACATGTGTTGATGGCCAACATTTTTCTCTGAGATCGAGACTTCTGGAATGTTTTTTATCGCAAGTACTTTAAAAGAGATCTTAATTGTCGAGTCAAAAATTATGATTAATAATAGTTTAATTTACGCAAAATTTATGCAGCGGAACAGAATATCACCAATTGCAAAATGACAATATTCATCATAAATGTTTGTTTAATATAAACGCTTATGTTTATATTCCCCGCATAGTCCATGTCGATGAAGAATATCAAAGCATAACTACAAATAGATAATAGGATAGCCTATTTATTTTGAACATTTCAAATCATAATTAACTAAAACAAACTTAATTAATTACAGTTAACAATAAATGAAACTTATCTTCTATTAATAATTTCCTATTTCATGTAAATGGTTCTAATTAAAGACTTATGATCTACCAAACTAGCACTTTTTTCCGTCATTTTTTGGTTTCTGTCTGAATTTTTGGCTTTCCGTAAACATCGCATGCAAACAGAACGCTTGCCAGACGAAGAGGTTTGCGACCGTTTCCGTCTGACTAATTTCCGCCTTGATCTTGTGCTTCGGAGGATCATATTTTTTGTTGTTGTTGATGATGAATTGTATGAAATTAGTTACTGTTAGTTACGCAAATTGATATAGAGTATTTCTATAAACAATATTTATTACTTTATTTCTTTAAATTGACGTGATAGGTTTGAGAATGCTCGTGTGATTTCCGGGACTACATTTGGATGGCGCCATATTTATTTTACGTGGTGATTACATTTGCCGCCTTCGTAGCATGATAGGTTCAGTCCATCTACATACGGAAAGTTCATATGGAAACGCAAAAAATGACGGAAAAGTGCTAGTGTGATAGAGCTTTAATGAAAGTGAATTATTTCCAATTGCCATCGAATTAATTATGAACTGCCCTTGTAGGTATTACTTTTGCAATCTCATGAAAGAAATCTGTATGTATGTCAGTAATAAGTATACAAAAATGATCCATACTCCGGCCACGTATACTGGAGACGCCTCCTACCTCTCCTACTACCTTAGACTGCTTCGGGGAGACGAGGATCACGGATGAACACACGCATATTAACACAGGCTGAGGTCGAAACACTTGCATTCGGGCATCCACTTGATACAGCCAACATGACTCTCGTACCAAAAACGCCTAAGACTCCAAGCACACCCAGAACTGCGAAGTCTCTGAGAATACCCAGGTCGACTTTAAAGACACCGCGGTCCTTGAAGGCACCAAGAACATTAAGGACACCCAGGAGGTTAAAAGCATCGGGGAGGTGTTCCGCAAAGACTCCCCGAGCTAATGCCAAGCCCTTGACGATCGGCGACATGGTCTTTGAAGCGGTAGAGGCTCTCAACGATCGTAGAGGCGTGTCTCTGCACTCTATCAAGAAATATCTCCGGGACAACAAGAAAGTCGACACCGAAGCGAAGGCGCTCTCCATCAAGAACCACCTCAAAGCCTTTGTGGAGGAAGGGAAACTTGTTCAGTTAGCAGGCACGGGTGCGAATGGGACCTTCAAGATACCTGGAAAGAAGACCACGTCACAGAAAGCGTCCGCATGCTCCAGGGTCGTCACCAAAGTTGCGAGCAGACCGAAGATTGGAAAACTACCTTCGAGCATTAAAGACCGCCAGAGTTTTAAGAATGCAACAAATATGCACCAGAAAGTATCGAAGAAGGCTCTGAAGGGGAAGATGGGCATGAAACGCCTGTAA